TTTCTTTCTGGATAATGTTTGAGTGAAGTTTTGAAATACCGGATCGTTCAGTCCGCCGCAACCGCAGGATGCCGACACATTACACGCTATGACACGATAGGCGGCGGGCACTGCGCGAAAAACCTTTTGCGGAGCAACGGTCGGTTTTTTTGTATGTTTAGTGGTTTTTTTGGTCGTTTTTTTGGTCGTTTTTTTGGTCGTTTTTTTGGTCGTTTTTTTGGTGGTTTTTGGTGTTGGGGTCGACGATGTTGAAGTTTCTAAAATGTATTGAGTATTTTCGTGGGTTGTAGAGTAATGCGTAATGTGTTAGTTACTTATCGTTGTGTACGCAGTGAAGTGTGAAAAATGCCATTTGGCTGCGCATCACTGGAGATCGAAAGTTTGTTCGATTCGACCTTAAGCTTTTGTGCCTAGTTGTGCTGAAGCTTAGAGGCTTAAACAGTCAACAGGATGTTAGTTTTTACGTTGGATCGATAACGTTAAACGGAAACATTAACGTTTATAGCAAGACCTCTCTTGCTTATATCATTTTCTTTGTTTGTTTTGCGTTTATGCAAGCATGAAAAAATTGAGCTGGTAGCGCCGACTGCAGCTAGCTATAGAAAAACGTAAAACTATTGAAGGGGGTTAACGGGCGCTGCAGCTAGCTACATTAGTTTCGATGCTCGTTGCAGCTAGATATTTAAATGTACACATCATGGAGCGGCCGCTTCAGCTAGTAACGAATCGGCTAACACGATCTTCGACTAGTCGAAGCTAGTTCGAAATCGTATACAGTAACTTGGTTTTCCATGAAGAAAGTATTTCTTAGAATTGAACCTAGAGACAATAGTATGTAAACTTTAATTTCCAACAGTTTTTCCTCTTGGAAAAAGTTTTTAGGTTTAAGTTTTGAAAATGTTGTTCGAAATCGTATTGTTCTTCGTTTCAAGACCTAGTACCGGCACTATACCGTGCATGACTGAAATTATGGTCCAGAAGCCCAGGTGAAACTCCTTTTACAAGATCATACAAGATCTGCCGTTTTCTTATGAAATCTTGTAACAAGATCTTACTGCATGATCTTACAAGATCTTGTCTTAGGATATTGTAAGATCCTGCGGAATCTTGTAACTTCTTGTCTTAAAATCTTATATGATCAGCTCATAAGACGTGATAAGATCTTACAAGGTCTTGTAACACGAAAGCGTATGATCTTACAAGATCTTGCCATTGAGAGATGTGACTTATACTTATGTCTTATCGCAAGATTATACGATTTCTTGTTATACGATCTTATATGATCGTGCAGGAATCGATTTTCGTTCTTTCTTCGTCTTCACAGATCAGCTGAGCGCAAATAAAGTGCATGGCTATAAGGAACGTGGTTAAACACGATCATAAGGACGTTTGTGTCCTACTTATGCCAGAAAATATTATGAATAGAGAAAGATACTTTTTAAGAGGGTCTAGAGGAAATGTATAGAACACTATAAGCAGGGACCTGAGTAGGTGCCGGACATTGGGGGGGTGTAACGAAAGTTTTTTGTCCGAGATAGTGTAAACTTTATTTTAAATAATTACCTTGTTACCGTTCTTTTAAACTTTTGGGGGGGTATGCAGATCATATGATATCTTATACGATCTTATGAGATCTTACAGGTTTATATGTTAACGATCTTATAAAATCTTACAAGATCTTACAAGGTATTTAAGATCATATTTCTTATAAAAGCTTAGAAGATTCTTTTACAAAGACATCATACAAAATCGTAAAAGATCTTATAAGAAGTCAAAAGATCTTAGAAGATCCTTTGAGATCTCATGATTTCTTGGAATAAGATCTTGTAAGATCTTATAAGACCATAGGAAATTTTGATATACGATTGCTCGTCCCGGGATGAACCGTTATTATATCTTATCATGTGATCTACGATTAAGCTGAATGGTGATCGTTGGTGTGCGCAGATATTACATGTAGGATAGAAGAAGGGCTTGTACCACTTTTCAGCTCTTTTAGTTGAGCAGTCATGCTGATAAATATAGACGATCGACTCGCTTAATCAGATATGAAACTACGTCGGGCACTCTTAACTGTGAGAAGTGTTTTGCGGACGTGAAAGAAGGCATTATTTTAATTGCTATTATCCTGTTTCGTCAGTACCGTCGCATTATGATGAGGATGTTTCAATGGCTACAGACATCGTCTGAAGCGCTTACACATTTTCGATATTGTTGTTCGAGTCTATCATTTTAAAGAAAAAATCCTTTACCTATGATGTTCGTGTCCCAGCCAATATAGTTGTATGTTCTCGTGTACGCCGATGGTAGTCCACCTAAACCACAATTTGGTGTTGATACAAGACCAATTAGATTCCAAACGTCTGTGTCTGGATTATATTGCATTAATGGGGCTCCTGAATCTCCATCACATGCATCTTGAAGTCCATTCGAGTAACCGGCGCACAAAACCTGATTTCGATACGAAGAATTGACTAGCTGGCTGCAGAATGATGATGTTGATGAAACTGTTGGAACGATGGCTTGTCTCAATTGCCCATCATTGGTAGCGTCATCTGAGCTACCATATCCAGCGACAACAGCATAACGCGCAATAGACGATTGGTTATTGTTGCATATGGGTGGATAGATGCTGGGAACATCCGATTTCAAAATTAACAAAGCAATATCGTTGACATAGACACCGTTAGAAAGTTGTTTATAATTTGGATAAGTATGTACAGTTTTTACTTTAATGGTCGATTGATACGAGTCAGTGTTCGTCTCGCCATAGTCAACATAGAGATCTGATGAAAATGGGAGCAAAAAATTATTTTCCATACAACTTCTTGTTGTTAATACAGCCGCTGTATCAACTAGGACACCAGTGCATGCATAATCTGTATTTGTACCAATAAGAATTAGCCATGGCCAATCATCGCTGTCAGTTACTGATGAGCCACCAATAACACGTTTTCTTCGAGATGAGATTGTACCGGTGAATGTATTAAACGTTGGATTTGTAACTTGACATCCGCACGTCGCTGTCGTATCACACGAGATATTACGAAGAGAGGTAGGTACAGTACGAACAATCACTTGAGCTAAAACAAAACAATTACACACAATTTCATAAGAATTGACTAAAGTAAAATCATAATTGAGAAAAGCTACGGCCAGATTTGAGAGTGGATATATGAAGTCATATCTAATACACTGTGATTTATATCATAAAAAGAATTTTATTATATTAAGCATAATTATTATAAGAATTTGTAAATGAATATTATAGAAATCATTTGATTTAGTCTACATGTCTAATTTCGAGCCTTATTAACAGCACAGACATGTTCTGTTGTAATGTGTGTTATATTCATGAAGCTGTTATTACTACATGATTCTATTAGAACTCAGGTATCTTATACATAATGCGTGGTGATCAGAGTTATTTACCCGTTGTGGTGGTGGTGGCCGGTGTTAGCATCGAATTGTGTCCATGCCGAAGACCGATTCCGAGACCAAGTCCGAGTGCTAGTCCAATCACAACTAGGGCCGATACAATAGCAACGGGTATAATCCATGGGAATTCTGGTCTACTACCTTGTATTAATTGTCCCTTGGAGAAATAACCAGACGATAACATCGCCGTCTATCGATATGATGATATTCCTGTAGTGTATAGTGAGCAATGATAATCTGAAGTATTTCTTTACATAGGTGTACACTATAACTGTATTTAGCTAATATTTGTGTAATAACAACATTAAGAAATGAACAAAAAAAAGAGACGTGAAAAGTACTATCGATTATCTAAGAGAAAAATACATTTTCAAGGTAAGCGGTGTTTATAATATGGATGACTGAGTTTGTGCATTTTCTTCATTCACAAACTAAAATTCTCTCAGGGCCATAGGAAAACATGATGGAAAATTGATTAGCAGATAATACACTCTTCTATCCGGTATTAAAAACTGCGAACATTTCTATTTAGTTCTACTGTCGTGCAGTACAACAGCTCAGAGAGCTGACCATACATCTTTAAATATAGATGTTTGTGTTGATTCGGCTGTCATGAAATATAAATCTGGATTATTGATGTCAAGCACAATTTGGATCCACTGCAAAGTCATTTTTTTAAGACGTTGTGTTCCCTCAGAGCTTTTTAGAGTATAAGTGTGCAGAATACACAGACAAATATTTACATCTGTATATCCACTTTTTCTATAACGTACGACAGACAGGTATATTCCTGATATGTTCTTACTACCATACGAAACGCAGAAGCCACGTTCGTATCTCAATTTCCAATTTCTTACTGGAAGTGAATCATCTGAATATAAGTAAATACTGTAAGAGCGAGCTTTCGTTCAGAATTTGTTTTTTCGTGTTTAAATTGAATAATACAAACTGAATTTGGCTACAATCACAAGTGCTAAGGACTATATGCTGGTACTATTCACAATACAGCCTCTCAATGAGGCTATCTCGGTTCCTCGAAAGATTTATATTATTCGTCCGATCTTCTAATCACATGAGTATTCTCCTGTAACATGACTAAGGTCATATTCATTAAGATCATTCTTATATGTCATAATTGTGCTGGAATGGAATACATTTTTGAATAACAACAGCCATTTAAAAAAGTTTTATTCTATTAATTCCTCGTCGCGTTTCGCTCTCTTCATTTATCAAGAGAAAATAGCATCGGTACATTGAAAACTATTTAAAAATAGAGAGAGAATCATTAGTTTAAATAAAACTAATTTGAAAATTGAGCAAAATCTTGTTTGCCTTTATTTATACATGATCGGATAGAGCTTTTCGAGTTACCTCGAAAAAATGTTACTTTTAGATTTTTTAGAACGTTTGTAGAGGGTAAAAGTTTGAAAACATTAATACAATAAAGTTCTTTGAAAACGCTAAAATGTCAAAAATAAGTCAGAATTTCAGGTTTCTTGTCCCTCTGAACTTTCAGAACTGTTTTATTATGATTTAGTATATAAAACTGAGCATAAAAAAACAGATTTGACTTAATTCGAACTTGAAATGGCATTTGAATTCGTTAAACGCGAACCGAATCGTGAGAATGCCCTTGAGAAACCTTGCAGATCTATCCAGTTTTTAAGTTAAAAGATTAAACACCTTTTTTTAGCCGCCTCTAACGATGAACTACGATGGATTTTCTAAATCCAAAACTTTTTGCGCTGAAACCAAAAGGCTTCGTTCAATAAACTATTATCTTTGATCCAATTTAATAGGCAAAACACGTTAGTGGGTAAAAAAATGCTGTACTGTTCCGAGATCTCTAAATGGTTTCCTATCAGTCTCTAAAGAGCTAATTCGTCAGAAACGCCTAGAAAAATTTTACAAAATTCTTTTGAGAACCATACACAACGATAGAGCAAACAATTTCCTACTAAGTGACATATGTGAATGAAATGAAAGACTCTCGACCTCTCTACAATCATTTGTCGCTGAAATATTTGGTTTTTAAAGAGGTCGTGCACAGTTTGAGTGCAACTCTCACTCTCAACCTCACATCTTCTCCCGCCACATACAAATAACCTTGTACATGCGTCTGGTACATATATACAGAATATACCTTGCTGCGAGATTGTGATTACTACATTTGAGTTCGCAGCGAATTATATTGTGTATATTGTGTATATTGTGTATAAAATCAATTAAGTTGAGTTTCAAACTGAACTAAGCGAAATTAAAATGTAGCACCATTCAGTTGAAATCAAGTCTAAGGGCGATATGTTTCCTTCCTGCTCGATAAGAAGTGCTACTGTTTGATACTGTAAAGTTTTAACAAATCAAGTAAATAACAAAGCGAGAATATGTGTAATTAACAATTGTCACGTTTTGTTGCTTTTCTCATGTAACATGACGTGCAGCATTTATGACTATTATTCTTGCATGACACCGTTTTATATTACAAGTAATAGTACGTTTATATGTTCTATCGACTAAAATTACTATCCATTCAAAATATAAACACCACGGATGTTTTTTGAATAACCGGAGAACGTAATGACTAGAGAGCTGCGGTTTTCAGATTATGAAAAGACGACATCCGGGGGCTTAATCTGATGCTAAAATAAATCTTATTCAACAGGCCTACCACGGCATACCAAACGAAGTAAAAATCCGAGCCTATTATTCCAAAAATCTACATAACGAGATACTGTTCTAAATAAATATGGGTAAAGAGCAAATATCGCTCTACAACCTGGTGTAAGTTCAACACCTCCATCTATTATGATTTTGACGCTAGAGACAATCTCCGAGGGTCTACCTATCGTCCAAATCTGACGTCTGAGAACCTCAAAATCACATGGTACATGGGCTATCGGACACGCTGATAACTGTGGCAATGCTTGTTTTGTTGTCCGGGTTGAGGAAACTGGAAAAGACGAATTTTCCAGATAATACCATTCTACCACTGTGACCCTACTAAATAAAAACCTTAAAGTGACATGTGAGGAAATGAGTACACAATACAGCAATGTTACTCAAAGTTAAATGGATGTAAAATATACTGACATTTCTGCATTATGGGATGTAGACCAAGATTATCCGCGTATTAGAGAAAAATGCAGACACTCACATAGACATCAACGGGCATCCACTGAGAAACTCAATTATGCTCAAGTTTTTACTCATATACAATGATCATTCTGCATAGTACGATTGAAAAAGAAGCTGATATTGTCAACTGTAACCTATATTATATTAATCAATACCTAAATGTTCTGCCATCTAAGAATGGCGATTATGTGTTGTTTTGCTTTGATTTCCAAATGTACATGATAATTGAAAACCAAACTAGTTTGGGTATGGGTGTGTTTTTTCCAACAAATAATACCTGCTATTCATATTTAGAAAAGCACTTGGACTCAAGTGTATTCACTAGAGTTAGCTGATATGGCTTAAATAACAAAACAAAAATTGTTTTCTGGTACCCATGCTAAACATATATAAGTAAAGACATTTTGTTATTTTATTCCATTGACTGTAAGTCTATGGTCATACGAAATAAATTGTTTGTATGTGTATGTCCATACACAGGTGCGACAAACGTAAGTACACATGGTGGAGGACGTACATCCAGAATGTGACTAATGAGTGTGACTGATGTACATACATATAGTGACTAATGAGTGGGACGGATGTATTTTGTCCCCTAGCGAATACCGACCGAAGTGGAGTGTGAACGTCGTCTTTGATTTAAAGCTATCGAAGGTCATTCGCAGATATAAGTTCCTAAAGCCAAAGGACCGCGCGACCCAGTCAAAAAAAACGTCAGAAGTAGGAATATGAAGGTGTACCCCGTTTTCGGAGCACTCCTTTTGAAATAGGCCACTAAGAGCACTCTAGAGTACTCTTTTTAGTAGTCCAGAATACTCCTCACAAAACGAGTGCTTCGGAGCACTCCTTTTTATAAAGTGCAGCCGAGGCACTGCAGAACACTTCAAAAAAAAACTGTAGTTTTTGGAGTACTTCTTTTGAGAACATGCACTTCGAGTACTCTGGAGTAATTCTCAAAAAAGGGTTATCGAGATTACTTCTTTCTTTTTTTCCAAAAAGAGTGCTCCATCATAGTCCTCCTCTTGATATTCTTTTTTGATTGGGGAGCGCAGACGAACGCTACCTGGTGTGTATATGGAGGGAATGACTATCAGTGTGAAACACTGTCGCCTTGCACTAGCGCTACTTCGGACCGATAGCACAACGAAAACTAGACCACTACCCATGTAAAATCGTTGCGTCTGAAAAGACGCGTCTACACGCGTTTTTTTCAGAAAAAAATGGTCAGACGCGTCTGAACGCGTCGTACCGAGATACGTTTAGACGCGTACCGAGATGCGTTTAGACGCGTCTAGCACTTTTTATTAAAAAAAACGCGTCTTAACGCGCTTTACCAAAAGAAGTCTCCAAGACGCGTCTGAACGCGTCGTACCGTGACGCGCTTAGACGC